CTTCTGTGTGATTTTGGGGGGAGGTACTAGGGAAGAGCAGGGCTGTCTTAGAGATAAACCTATTATGGGAACACTGAAGTTATAGCTTCTTTTTATGCTTTACCATGACCACCCAGAGAAAAAAAATGAGAAATGAAACAAAAATAAACTTTTTCCACTTAAGAAACTATTTTGGTCTCCTATGATTTCTTCCCTTGAGTCAGCCCTGGTAGAGTCAGCCTTGTTCTTGCTTCTCCACAGGCTCAAGACCTATAAAACAAGGGATTTGTTCTGAGGCCAACTCACAGCTCTTGCTATCCTCAAAGTACGGCCAACCAAACCTTCTTGTTACATAATTTATTTTGCACTATTTAGGGGAGATCCCCAAATCTCCTTTAGATGCCCTGGGGTTGGTCCAACTTGCAGAAGCAGGATATGAGTTCCTTCATTCTGCTCTCCAAGTGATTTTTATCCCAATGTCATTCATATGAGAAGAGCATGAGCCCACAGGGAGAAGAGCTGTAGAAATCATCAAATGGTCAGGAGCACAGCTGCAAAGGAAAAGGATAGGATCCCAGGAAGATAAGAAAGAAGAGAAGGGATGGATACCAGCAACCTGAGAAGACAGAGCCATCTGGGAATCAGAGAGCAGCCAGAGGCACCTGAGGAAGGGCTATCCTGAAAAGGGGAAGGAATATGTAGGACAGGTGAGTGGAAGGGAGGTTAAGAGTGGAACAAGAAATGGGAACAGGGAGAGGCAGCAGTCAGCAGGAAAGATGACAAGCTCCAAGTTGCCAAGGGAAGAAGAGAGGCAGAAATGATGCCAGATGAAAGAAGTGTTCCCAGAAAGCAAGTTATGCCCTAGTTCTACCCCTAACTCTTCTGATCACTTCATCCGCCCCAGGAATTTCATTTCCAAGAGGGTTTGTGATGAGTCTTATCTAGGGCTTCAGGAATAAGATGCAAAACATCAGTAGTGATGGATAGTTTCAGGTGGCTATTTAAGAAAGGTGAAACTAAGCAATCTATTCATTTTAGCTCGGATCTCAATGAAAAATTATGGTGGCTGCAAGACACTGTTCTAGCATTCTTAATCTGCAGTTCAATGTATTAAATTATTTTCTCAACAGTCACTGATAACTGAGCCTTTTACTGGGATTCAGGATTATAAAGAGAACTAAGTAATATCCTCTACCTGTGGGTCGCTTGCAGACCATGGGAAAGATAGTTAAAAACAATGTAATGAAAGTATAATGATAAAGGTACTAGCAAAGGACATGGAGGGCAGGAGAGGGTGCCTTCCGGACATTTTCTACATATATGCTCATAATGTAGTGCAGTTGGTTCATTTCACCTGGAAAGCCCCTTCCCAACCTTGAACACCAAGTAACATCTCTTGAAATCTTGAGCATTCTTTAAATCTAAATGATCAGATGCCATTTTCTCAAAAAAAGTGGTTTCTCATCCTAAAAGCTGCTGTGTCTTTAACATTTACCCTAATTTGTTCTGTAAAAAAAGAAAAAAAACTATGACTGACAGGGACACACATGGACACACACACACATACACACACACACACACACACACACACACACCCACCCACACCATAAGCTTCTTTACTAGTAGGACTGATGCCTGATTTATCTTTTGATCTCTCATAGACTTGAACATGGAGGTTTCCATGATGCACTTGGGACCTGATGAAGTGAAAATTCACTTATATTAACTAGTCTACAGCCCCTTGTATGATGCTAAAATGTATCCTGTTTTATTTTGGGCAGTTGTGAATCCTTGTTTACACAGACCAAAAATAATTTCTTGGAAAGAGGCAGGGGCTCTCCAAAAATAATGACCCTTAGGCCTAAAAAGATTCAATCACCCTTTTCATCTTTTTGCATTTGGATAAAAAACAGGCAACAAAACAAAACTCTCAAATTAATCAAATGATTTTTAATCCAATATCTTACTTACAAATGAAGAATCTAAACTAATATCTGAGAAATTCAGATGCTTTTTCCGTATCACACAGCCAGAACTAAGCATAGATTTCAAGACCTTTAAATTCAAGATTCCTCCCAATAGATCAAATAGTTTACCTTTAATAAAAGAGAAAGAACATGACTAAAAATGAAAGAAAAAGAAATAACACTAAAATATATAGAGAAAAAGAATTCATTGAAAAGCATTATGTATCATGTAGAAAAATATGCTTTCAGTAACATCAGTGAAAATGTATGTAGGGTTTAAAGCTTTAATTTAAAAATCTGACTTTTTAAATCCCCCAATCCTTTACCCTTCAGACATCAAATGATTTAATACAGTTTGCAATAAGAGTAATTCCGAAGGTGTTCTCTAAGATATTTCAATATGTTTGGATGATACTGGTGATAAACAGGTGTTCTTAACACTTGCGGAAGTAAACTAATACATCAAGGCTCTGTCAAGAGATGCACATTCGCACATGTTCTGTCCCATCACAGTTTAGGCAAATGCAGCAGGTGCACTCCAATCTGACAGTTTACTCCATCCCAGTTCTGCTATTATGACCAGAGCCCCTGCCTCTTTTCTGACCTTTCCTATGTCACTGCTGCATTCCCCTCCTCCTGACAAATATGACCCAGTCTTTCAGACGCCCCAGGTTAGGTACGTGAGTGTGCACATGCGTACATGTGCATGCACACACACAATTTGAATTTAAATTTGAATTTAAAACTTACTGGGTTCCAATTCTAAACGAGAATATACAGATCTATCTCAGATGTATAATATGAGTACATCTAGCCTAATCTAATATTCACAGTGATACATAATTACTCAGATAAAGACCATTTTATTCTAAAAATTCTTTCATTTGCTGCAGAATATGGTCTGAGTAATCTGATTTTCAGCTCAAAATTGCCTCCTCTGCTCTGCACTTCCCAAGGCCCCCTCAAGGGCACAGGGGCAGTGCTTAACGGCTTAAATATTTGTTCTGCCACTTAATATTTATGTGATCTTAGAAAACTATCTAAATGTTCTGGACAATAATTTCCTTATTTCTAAAATGAGGATATTAATCCCTTCATGGAGATGTGAGAACATGAGGTAATGCCAGTGATTGTTGCATGGTAGGGCTCAGTAAAGAACAAGTGTTAGGAAGGTGACAGTGAAGGGAAAAGAAAGAGAAGATATTTCCACATTTCTCAGCAAGTCTTGTCAGAATTTGACTGCCAGCTTCATCTGGAGAGTATTAAGCTCCAGGTAGAGAAAAGAGAACTAGTAAGGGGGAGTCAGCGCTTAATATGTGATTTTCTTGTCTTGAGCTTACATTACACATACACTTGAGTTCCTTTGACTCCTGGGAAAAGGATATTTCACAGTAGTAAATTCAATATCTTTTGAGGAGTCAAAATATCTTTTTTCTTTTTTGCTTAGGAGATTGGACTTCACAAAAAGGGGTGTCCTGACTCTCAACAGCAGCTAATCATAGAATTTCCAGTTATAGCAAAGGTCCCTGTGGTTTGCCCCCCACTGGCATTCTAGAACTGTCTAAATCACAGAACAAATGCCCAGCCTCTTCCTAGAATCAAGGAGTAGGAATACATAGCCAAGCCACCAGCTGAACTGCTGTTAAGGTTTGAGATATCCAAAGTACAACAAGGAAGGAGGAAGCTCAGACATATTCTGAATGATAGGGCCATTTATTGCCTGTCTAAGATGCCATTCTGCTTGCAAACACATACTACCTGCCATATCACTCAACAAAATAACTCCATTGAAAGCCTGAAGGCAAATGATTCATGTTAAAACTGACCCATGCATCATTTCAGTGACGACTCTACAGGCATCAATTAAACATGGAAAAGACATACTCTGAATGAAGCACAACCATATGACATTTCCCAAGAAGCTATAGTAAAACAGAAGTGACCATAACTATATAGAAATTTATCAGCCCTCTCCTAGCTCAGAAGCAACAGGGCTCATGAGGATAATGAACCCGGAAGACCTCCAAAAGAAAAGGTGAGCATTTGAAGCCTACATTTGAAGTCAGCACAGCTATTCCTCATGCATAGAAAGCAAACTTTGGGAGTTGCATGAGATCATCTTTTCAGCCAACAGAAAAGCAGACTGGTCCAGGGAATGCTTGAGAGTTTGTCTGGGAGTCTAGAGGTGAACTTCGATTGTTATATCTCCAAGTGAGAGGAAGGATTGGCACAAATCCATCTCTTGCTCCGTGAGTGCTTTCCAAGTATCAGCACTGTAGGACTTTGCTCAGCACACCAGGTCAAGCTCACTGTAATCTAAACATCCTTCCTGAGAAACCATGGTTTAACAACCTTTCTAGTGAAAGTAAAAGTTCACATTTAACAAATCCAATGAGAATAATGTCAAGGAGGAAAACCCCCAACAGAGAAACAATGTTCTAGATCAGTCAGGCAGACACCTGTGTATATATAGACAAAGCTTCAAACACCACCTCATCACACCTAATGACTGCCTGTGATGCAAGCTAGCAGTCTCTATTTCTGGCATTTTCAACAACAAAACTACGTGTCTTTATGCTCAGTCCTGATTCTGAACCTACTCGCTAATCTTATCTATTTTTTCTTTCTTAGACAAAGTCAGGTAAATGAGAAAGGAAGTACTTTTCAATTTTAATTCTGATCCAGATCTAAAATTGTTAGTGACTTTTTATTCATTACCCTTGAGCTCTCCCTTTTATCTTGAAGTGATTCAAGTAAATGCACCCTTCACATGTGCTAGCCCCAACATGAACAAGGTTAACATTTTCAAAGTAAGACTATGAAATATAAACAAAGCAAAAGCAACAATGCTGTGCTAATGAGTCCCACCATCAAGGACGGTGTGTACTTACATCTCTTTAAAGCAGCTGCTTTGGTGTTAAGTTTTTGGTTTGGAATTAAGAGGAGTCACTGACAACTGTTTTCTCAGCACAACAGAAGAGCAACCTGACCCATTAACAACACGAAAATGGCAGAATTACAACACAGTGTGAACAAGTAGGAATAGAAAAATACCTGGGATTGCCAGATTGGAAAGGGGGACGTTGTGGAGGTGAGGGGGGAGCGAGGCCATCCAGTCGGCATTGCAGACCTCCAATGCTGTCTTTGTCCCGCTGAGGTTGGGGGAGCAGATGGTCCCCATCCTGAGTTTCCTCCCTGCCTTCCTAAGTGCTAGCATCTCTCTCGCCCACAAACTGGCTATGACCAGTGTCACTCATTCAGTGACCATCACTGCTCGGGCTCTCTAGACATTTCAGGGCCCCCTCTGTCACGCCGGTCTTTCTGAAAAGCCTTTCTGCCCGGAAGACTGTCGAGGAGGTGGTGGTTCCCACCCTCTCGGCCCAGCCTCTGCTCTACTCCCTTAATCTGCTCAGTCTCGCCCCGTTAAACTTCTTACGTTCCCCTCTGGAGCTGAGGGAGGTACGCAGGCCCCTGGAGAGAAATCGCACAGGAACCCAGCTTCCGAGGAGCAGCCACGCCCGGAGCTACTCACAGGAAAGGAGCCCGCGCAGCAGAGGACCTGCCCGGGTCTACACACGTGAGTGCCGCCGCGCACCGGCTCGGCGGGATTTATGCTTCGGAGTAGCGCACGGAGCTGGCACAGAAGCCAGGCCCGCCGCCGCCGCCCCCTCCTGGCCCCGCAGCACAACTGCTCTGACGGGTGGCTTCCTCAGGGCGCTCTGAAGTGTAGCCGGTGGCACCTCGGCTCCAGGCAGTCCCGCCCCTCACTGCAGGGCAGATTTGCCGGGCTCGGCGGCCAGTGATTGGCCACTGGCTGAGCGCGCTCCGATTGGCCGGCGCCCTCGGGGCTGCCCTTCTGTCCCGCTCCCACGCCTCCCCTGCTCCCAGGCTCCACCTCCCCACCCCCCACCCCCGATACTCCTGCCTCCCTGGGTGTAGACCCGGTCGGATGCCTCCAACGCGGAGGGCGGCCGGTCCCCAGGCAGGTCTTTCGGCAGGCATTTCAGTCAGCACTGAGACGTTCAACGCGGCCACAAAGGTTTCTTTGCGTCCTCTTTCCCTTATACACGCGCGCTCACACTCACACTCCGTGACAGTTACCCAGAAAATATTACATTTTCTCTTAACCACAGACTCAGCTGAAATAGGAGAGGCAGAGAAGCCCACAGAGGTGCTATATCTCACATTCGGATGCCAACATCAAGTACGGTTTATATTTTAAGCATTACGTAATTGAGATTCACCTGTATCCTACTTGGCAGCAGTTCTGCGCTATCATCCTCACTTCACAGAAGAAATAATGACAGTTTACATTGGTATTGCTCTGACGTTGAGAACCTTTTTGCAAGTTATTTGTCCCATTTGCTCTTCACAGTAGCCCCCACAAGGCAATGAGGGTTACTGTGATGCCTCTCTTTAACAGATGAATTAGTCCCGGAGCATTCAGGGAGCAGGTCATGGGGTCGCACTCTGCAAATCCCATTTCTGAAGGAGACCCTCTAACAGAGGCACTCATTTCCCTGGCTTTCTACATTGTTCCGTGCTCCTTCAAATGATACTTTAACCATTATTGAGAAGTACAGTACAGAGTATCCACTAATGTGAGGACTTTGCACATCAAAAGTCACAGGAACATCCGGCAAACAGGTACATTTAAAAAAGCACCATGGCCTTGAGAGTCCTGTCCCTGAGGTTCCAAATACTAGGCAAATGCTCAGTGACTCAGGAGGAACTTTTGGGAAAAGAAAGCAATTACTTGTCCTCAGGCAAAGAGAAGAATTGAGGCTCCTATCAGATCTGTAGGCCAGCTGCCATTTACTCAGCAAATACCCCTACTCCATCTCCTGCACCCCAAAGCGCCTTTCCATACACATAACTTTTGCTGCACACTGCCCCCTTTTGACATTTTTATTAAAATTCCCATTTCCAGGTTATTCTTACTGGGAATAGAACCCAGGGCCTTTGTACTTAACTACATCCCCAACCCTTTTTATTTTTTATTTCAGTCAGGGTCTTACTAAGTCACTAAATTGCCCAGGCTGGACTCGAGTTTGCCATCCTTCTACTTCATCCTCCTAGAGTACTGGGAATACTGGTGTGTACTACAATGCTCCAGTCTCCATGTTATTCTTAACATTCATTTAAACGTGCTTTGCTGCATAATATTGCCAAGTAGATTTTTTTTACCTTTAGTTTTTGGTTTCCATGGAGGAACATTGTTTAACAGCTAATTAAAAGAAAGTGTAATATTTATATGTATCTTCTGAAGTTTAAAGGGCAGTGCAATATAGTGATTTTTTTCAAATATACCACAAGATATTGGGAATATGTCACCCTGCTGTTTGAGTCAACGAAATCTCTTTCTCCTGGAAAAATCACTCTGTGAAGGAATATCCCAAGATTTAGTTTTGAAATACACCTCTCTGGGCTTCCTTTGAACTTCAAAAACATATATTTTAAATTCCCAAACACAAAATTTTATTGATGTAAACTCCTTAAAACAAATAAATGTGTTCTGTAAGATCAACTATGAAGGCTAATTTCAGTTCCTTCTTCCTGTATTTTTCACCTTTAAATGGTAAGTATAAGTATATTAAGAAAACATCAACTAGATATGGAGGTGTCGCCCTGTAATCATAGCACTCTGAGAGACTGAAGCAGGAGGATTGCAAGTTGGAACCCAGGAGAGGTAACTTTGTGATCTGGTGAGACCCTGTCTCAAAATAAAAAATAAAAAAAGAATGGGGATATATCTCAGAGCAAAGGCCTGGGTACTGGGTGGGGGCTTTTAGGTATTTAAATGAGAAGTAGAAAGCATGAAAAGTGGAACCATTTTCAAATGAGTTGTTTTGCACCCCTCTGAAATTAGTAAACTACTTGATTAGCCCAAGAAAACTGTTCAAAAGGAGGATATAAATTCCTGAGTCAGTCCTGGAAAGAATCTTACAGGTGAAAACAGTATTTAGTATAATACTTGACATATAGTAGGTAGTCAATAAATATTTGTTGGAAGAAAGGAGATTCTTGGTAGGACATGTTCTGATGGTCTTAGGTATTGCCTTATATAGTAATTTTTTTTAAAGGTAAAGACGAGTGATATTCTGATTAAATGCTTTGACATAGGCATAATATTCTGCACTTTTGTAAGCTTCCAGCTTAACTCTACTGGGTCAGACACTTCAAGAATGGGCTTATGTTTTGTTTTCTGTTTGTTTACAGTACTGGAGACTGAACCCAGGGCCTGTGTACTAAGCTACATCCTGAGTCCTTTTTAAATTTTTTGAGACACTGTTTTACTGAGTCACTAAGTTGCCCTTGGCTGGGCTTGAACTTGTAATCCTCCTGCTTCAACTTCTCAGAGTGCTTGGATTACAGGCAAGTGCCACCTTGCCTGTTAGGGCTCATGTCTGATATATAGGAATATCCTTAGGTTTTTTTCTCTTCTTCAGAATTTCACATTTTTATATCACTATTATAATTAAAAAATAAATTTGCTTTAAAAATCTAGGCTAACAATCTCTAAGTATAATAGAATAATGTCCGTGTCATAGTATGTAATAGAAACCAAATTATCAGTGGAATTTTTTTACTATATCACAGATGTTTAGAAAAAATTTTTAAATAAAAACGAATGTTTAGAATTGGAATAGTTGCACTTGTGGGAAAATGGAAGAGTGGTAAACAACAACAACTCAGCCTCTCTGAAATTCAGAATTCAGACACTAAAATACAACAATCTAGGTAAGAAAAAAATGAAAGAAGTAGATCCGTGGGAGCCAGGAAGGATCTGACAAGAAAATTAAGACCTGCAGAGAAATTGAAGAGACAGAACACAATGCGGAAAAGGGAAGGGACAATCTGCACTTTCTTCCTGGCTGGTGACTGGCTTGTGATTCACAAGAAAAGGAGATCAGATCGGCAGAGACAAAGTGAATGTGAGGAACACGGGAGGGCTTCGGGGACAAACACAACATGGCAGTGGAATGGACTTTCGGAGGCTGTGAGCTGCAACTCCAGCTGAAACCTCTACCATATCCCATGGAGAAAGTGGTTTGTTGGATGCCATTCGAGGGAGGGGATGACTGTTTGAACCTGGGACTCAGAGCAGCCAAGGGACAGCTTCAATTCAGGACTCCCAGTGTTAGTCTTACAGTGACCGGGTGAGGGACATCCATAGGAGACAGCTTTGGTCAGGCTACTGAAAGACCTCCTAAGGGCTTTAAACTAACGGAGACGGGCTACCCCCACAGCCTGAGTCCAGACTCAGTCTAAATTGCTCTAGATTTGAGAGTTCCAGAATTTGTTCCCTCACCCAAATTCTACTAGATGCTGGTGCCTGCATCCAGCACAGATCTGAGTTTGGCTGTCTTCTTTATCTGCCATTGTGAGCAGGAACAGGTTTTGGATGTGGCCCCAAAATTATAAATCCTGGAGGAAAACCACACATTTTAAATCACAGAGAAATTTCTTTTATTTATTTATTTATTTATTTAGGGTACTGGGGATCGGACTCAGGACCTTGTGCTTGTGATGCAGGCACCAGAACCACTGAGCTAAATCTCCATCCCTAAATTTATTTTCTTTGTTTGTTCATTTTGTGCATGTGGTTTTTTTTTTTCTTTTTCTCTTCTTTCCTCCTTTCTTCTTCATCAGTTTCTTGTGGCTTGGGAAAAATTTTTTTTGTTACTCTTCATGCTGCTTATCGTTCCCCCTTTTTTTCTTTATTTTTTTCCTCTTCTCCCTTTTAATTGTTCTCCCTTTAAGTTTTTCTCCTTATTTTTACACTCTACGCAATTTATTTTTTCCTCCCTCTTTTCTTTTATCTTTTATTTCTTGTCAGTTTTTTCTCTTACCTATACCAAACTCTATAAACATCCTTGTATTCCCCAGTAAGATCCTTTGTATCACTTCTCTCTCCTCTTTCTCATATCATACAGTTTAAGGTTTCAAAGTTTTCCTCTTGCATTTCCTCATTCCCAAACCATATATCTTTAATAGTATAACCATAAAGCTGTGTTAATCTTTTGATAGCTAACTCTGTAAAATTACTGTTGAATTTATTTCTATCATTATCAAAAATATAGCTATCTCATTTAGTGCACATGAACTGTAAGTCAATATGTAGGTTGTCTTAATGTTTACACCACAATTGCAGATTTCTTCTCTAGGATTGTGGCACATAATTGGATATTAAATGGTATGTTAATATCCAATTTATTGTGAATGATAGTACTGTACCTGATACAATTAATAATAACAGGGCCACATATTGTCTCTATTTCTCTGTAAGCCAACACTCAGATTACCTTTGTGACATTAACAATACTAATGTACATTCTCAGAGAACTTGATTGTCAAGCTGATTACACTTCATCTTCCTCTCCCAAATTAACCGAGGTGATTGGATCTTGGGATTGTGGCAAAGGATCATAGTTAGCCATGCCCAGAATACATCACTGAAAAGCAACTAATGAGATTTTTATGTAGCAACACTATGAGCATCCACAAACCTCAGCACAAAACAAACAAACAACGGCAAAAAATAGAAACATTAGAAGACAAGGCAACAAAATGCCTCCACAAATTCCCAATGCCACCAATTAATAAAGGGGGCACCAAGGGAAACAATACCACAAGCTATATAACTGAGTTACTAGAAAGGGTAACAGGAGGTTAGAAAACAGATCAAAGAGATGGCAGGATCACAAAAAATATAACTAAACAGATAATGGAAAAATCAAAATGATCGAGGAGCTTTTAGAAGGCTCTAATAAAAAGCCAGATAAGCTAATCAAAATTAT